TGTCCTGGTGGGCAGGTGTGTTTTTGGGCAGGTGTGTCCTGGTGGGCAGGTATGTTTTTGGGCAGGTGTGTTTTTGGGCAGGTGTGTCCTGGTGGGCAGGTGTGTCTTTGGGCAGACGTGTCCTGGTGGGCAGGTGTGTTTTTGGGCAAGTGTGTCCTGGTGGGCAGGTATGTCCTTGGGCAGACGTGTCCTGGTGGGCAGGTGTGTCCTTGGGGTATGTCCTGGTGGGCAGGTGTGACTTTGGACAGGTATGTCCTTGGGCAGGTGTGTCTGGGTGGGCAGGAGTCAGAAGGACCCAGGAAAGTCAGGATGGGACAGTGACCTGTCCAAGTGGAAACAACGGACACTACTCGGTTCCACGGGCCTCCTGTTCCCTGGAGTTCTCCTGACTGCTCCACTGTGAACTCTAGGACCTGGCAAAGGGGAGGCGCCGTCCACCTGAGGTCGGGAGCCACCCTCTTCTGACCAGAGAGTCGGGTGCTTTGTGAATAGCTCAGGCATTCCCCAGGCATCCATAGGCGCCTCCTCAATGACCAAGGGCCTGAGAATCCACGAGGAAACGGAGGTTTCAGGAGGCAGCTGCTTAGCTCAGGGTGCACAGGAGCTGCTGTGGAGTCCGCCTGTGCATCTGCACCCCATGAACCCCGAAACCATGCCCCTCCTAGGGCCCATGGGAGCTGCTGTGGCAGCTCTGTGTGGCAAGAGAGACTTGTCACCGTCCTCTAAGTGACAAGTCTCTGAGCAGATACGCTCGGGCCAGGCTCTGCTGGACATCCTGCGGGCTGATCTGGAAAGAGGCTGTGAGCAGAGGGGTCTCAGTTCTGAGACTTTTTGCTTTTTGGGGACTTTATCATTCGTGCCAGAGCAAAACGACATGGGCCTAATTCTGAAAGAGAGATGGATCAGAGAGAGCCAGGTGGAGTCCAGGAAGGTGGAGAGAAGGGCAGATGCGGGGGATGGAAAGAGACAGGCGGGGAGCCCACCGGGGCACAGGAGCCCTCCGGCCCAGCCTCCGTCCGCAGCTGCCAGCATCCAGGCCCTCAGGAGGCCGGGGCCAAGCACATCCACTCCCGCGCAGAGGCTCCTGTGACCCCAGTGCCTGACCGGCAGGTGCTCCGTAGGCGCCTTCCTGGGTTCCTAGCCATCTCAGGCCTGGTGCTGAAGTTCTTCTTTTGAACAGTTCAATGTCAGCACCAAGCAATGGGGAGGCGCATGGTCTGCCCCGGGCTCTGCATGGCGTTCCATCTTCTCCTGAGGCTTCCAGGACAAATTGGCCCCCAGAGCGCAGCAGACAGGGAGGGGCCTCGAGTCTCCTTCCTGTTCCGCTTGGTCTCCCTGCTGACACCCACCAAGCTGGGGTTCCCGACAGAGGCTTCCCAGGGGTGCCAGGTGAGGGAGATTGGGGTGCAGGGCGGGAGGCTGGCCAGGTGGAGAGGCGTGCTCCTGGAGTCCCCGTGTTCCCTATCACACACAGCCGTGCCCACCCCTGGGGTCCCTCTGGCTCCATCCAGGGCAGTGGGAGAGTCGCTCGAAGCCTGCCTGATTTTGGAGATGGCAGCAGCAGAAACGCTCCCAACCTCATGTGCTGGCTGCTGTGGGCTCCATCAATCCAGTGACTGCGATTGAGTGACCAGGTCCCTTCTTTGCCCGGCGTCACCGTGAGTCCTGTCCACTCGGAACTGTGGATGGGCCTGTGTCTAGAGGGGACGTGGGTCCAAGAAGCATAACCAGGCTAGAGGCCGGCGCCCGAGGAGAATGTTGGCAGCGAGGGGAGGGGACACTCGAAATGCAAACGACGGATTAGTAGGAGCACAGCTGGCCACACGGGGCTGGCAGCATCCTTGCCCCGTCCCCAGGCCATGGGTCCACCTCTCCATCGAGGCCTGCAGATGTCACAGTACATCACACACAGTGCCCTAGGGCCGAGGTCTGGCGCTCACCCAGGGCGGGTGGTGCCCTCCCACCTGGGATCTGGACTTTTGTCCTCAGAGCTGGAGCACCTGGGTCGCAGCACCACACTGGTGTAGCCAGGAGTACATGTTCCTGAGTACATGCCCCTCACAGCCCAGCGACCAGCTGATGGGGCTCAGGCCACTGCCCGAGAGGCAGGGCTCTCACCCCTAATGCACCCAAGACATGGGCTCAGCCAACACCTTCCCCTGCTCTGGGAGACGGCTGGCTCGAGCCTCGCTTTGGCAGGGAGTCTGTGGCCGTGGTGCTGTTCGGGACTCAGGGCAGAGTCCCAGGGAGACCTCCTCTGTGTTACCAACTTCAGCAGAAACAGCTCCGCCCTCGGCAGGACCGCTAATCCTCCTTGATATCTGAAGTCCTGGTCCCCAAAGGGGCTGCCTGAACGTTCCTCACCCTGTCCAAGGAGGTCACTGCCTGTCTTGTCCAAATCCATGACCAGCCCAACCCGAGAAGCACAGACTCGGCAGCCTACCCCCACTGCACTCATCTCTTGCCAGGACGGGGTGGCAGGGGCATGGCACGGGAGGGAGGAGGCTGCCAGGGGCTGGCCGTCCCTACAGGAGGTGGGCTTCTTACCCCCTAGGGTGTAGACCCACCAGCCCCACGTGGTGAGGCCCCTCCACAGGCACAAAGGGCTCCCAGGGCCCCCTCACTCCCTCTGCGCATCAGGACACCACTGGAAAGGCCTGGCAAGCCAGAGCTTCGGTCTGCAGCCCTCTGCCTGAGGAGGCAGCCCTGCCGTCTTTCTCTGCCTCAGGGAGGGAGCAAGGCTGGGCTGGCCAAGACCCAAGCACCCTGGTCCGCCCCACCACCGGTCGGGTCCGGGCTGGAGCTCACTATGGGGTGGGGACCCACAGCCCCTGTGTGGTTGGTGGCCTGGGTGCCAGTCTCTTCCTCTGTCTCCCCTGATCTGTTTCTCTCTGCCTCTGTATCTCACCCTCTCTGTGTGGGTCTCTTTTGGGCCCTCCTCATATATGGCACAGGCACTGGGGGGAAGGTAAATGACGCTGTGAGCGACCACATCCATCACACAGGCTTCTCCTGGGGTCTGGCTATCGACTTAAGAATGTTGGCCTCGGCCGGGCGCGGTGGCTCATGCTTGTAATCCTAGCACTTTGGGAGGCTGAGGTGGGTGGATCACCTGAGGTCGAGTTCAAGACCAGCCTGGCCAACGTGGGGAAACCCCATCTCTACTAAAAAGACAGAAGTTAGCTTGCATGGTGGCGTGCAGCTACCCGGGAGGCTGAGGCAAGATAATTGCTCGTACCTGGGAGGCAGAGGCTGCAGTGAGCCAAGATCGTGCCACTGCACTCCAGCCTGGGCGACAGAGTGAGAGATTCTGTCTCAAAAAAAAAAAAAAAAAAAAAGACTGTTGGCTTCACCTTGATTTCCAGGGCTTGGGGCCCATCTCCCCAAGAAATCTGTGGAAAAATGATCCATGTCCCTGGCTGGCTGGCCAACCACTATTTTAAGGGCTTCCAAGCACCTTGCCATCCAGGCATGCACATACGTGGGCGTGGGCATGTGTATGTGTGTGCAGGTGTGTGGGTGCACCTGTGCATGCATGTATGTGTGTGTGTGTTCATGTATGTGTGCCTGTCCTGGGGGAAGCGGCCAAGGAGCCTTCGGTGAGCAGAAGGCCGAATCCAGCAAAAGGAGGAAATTGATGCGATGGCCAATTCCCTCTCAAAGCTGTGGATTCTGTGTCATGGCAGAACTGCTAGACGAGAACCCTGGCCCTTCCACCCAGCCCCCCATGTGAGGCCTCCGCGATGCCTGT